TCACACTGGGTGCCCTGTATCGCAGCACTCAGGATATGGTACTGACTAACCTTTCTCTTCCAGCACTCTTTGTGGGTTCCTTGAGGGCAAGGATCATGTTTTATTCATTTTTATAGACTCATCACTTAGTACAGTACAGATTGAATGGAGATGTTCATAAATAGTGAATGGATTTTGAGTTTTCATACTTTCTACATTTAATTTGCTTCACATTTCCTTTAAAGCATCAATTTTTTTATGCTGAAATAACACATATTGAGAACTAGCCAGCTGGACTCAGTGTAGATGATCCCAATATTGTTGGCGATGTACAAAGCATCACAGCCAGCAGTCAGCTGCATGTCTGCCTTCTCCTCTCCATCAGGCCTGATGGGGCACTGACCTTGGCCACATCAGTGTCACCAGCTTTTTCATAGCTTGTTTGACCTGACACTTGTTGGCCTTGACCTCCACAGCAAACACAAGTGGCAGACTCAGTGGTCAGGGAACTTGGAGATAACAGAGTGGTCAGGTTTGTTTCTCCTGGGGAGGCTCCAGGGAGGAAGTCTTGGCTGCCTCCTGAGCCGTGGTGCCTTGGGCTGCCATAAGTTGGGTCACATGTGGATCTTCTTCGGTGACTGTGGATGCCTCTTAGCTCTGCCTTTTTGGCCTTCAAAGCCTATCCCAAACGTCTTCAAAAATACTGTAGTAAAAATAAATGCCTTGGGGCCAGTCTGTGGCGTGGTGGATAAAGTCACTGCCTGCAGTGCCGGCATCCCATATGGGTACTGGTTCGAGTCCCAGCTGTTCCACTTCCCATCCAGCTCTCTGCTATGGCCTGGAAAAGCAGTAAAAGATGGCTCAAGTCCTTGGGCCCCTGCACCCACATAGGAGACCCAAAAAAAGCTCCTGGCTCCCAGCTTCAGATTGGCACAGCTCCAGCTGTTGCAGCCAGTTGGGGAGTGAACCAGTGGATGAAGACCTCTCTCTATCTCTGTCTCTCCTTCTATCTCTGTTTAACTCTAACTTTCAAATAAATAAATCTTTAAAATAAATAAATAAATAAATGCCTCACATCTCCTGAAGAAATTGCTAAGTAAATAAAATTAGGATTTACTTTGCTAAACCAGTTGGCAATATTTGATGAGGTTTGACATACAACTATCAAGGATATTTACTCTGAATGAATTAAAACATGTTCTAAATATTTATGGCAGATTTATTCAAAATAGAAAAACTCCATAAACAACTCAAATTTCTATCAAGAGAGGAATAGAAAAATAAATTGTAGAACACCATTTAGCAATAAAAATTGAACTGGTACATGTTCAAATATCAAAAACATTAAGCTAAATTTGAAAAAAGACAAAAAAAGGTACATCAGAGCTGGCACCATGGTACAGTGGGTTACGCCACTGCCTACAGCACCTGCATCCTATGTGGACACAGGTTTGAAGCCTGGTTGCTCCATTTCCAATCCAGCTCCCTGTTAACATTCCTGATAAAGCAGCAGAGGATGGCTCAAGTGCTTGGGCCCCTGCCTTTCACATGGGAGATCCGGATGAAGATCCTGGTTCCTGGCTTCAGCCTGGCCCAGCCACAACAGTTGTGGCCATTTGGGGTATGAAGCAGCAGATGGAAGATTGCGCTCTCTCTCTCTCTCTCTCTCTCTCTCTCTCACTTTGCCTTGTAAATAAATACATCTTTTCAAAAGGGGGTGTTCGTACTATATGGTACCATACATGAAATCCAATAGGCAAAACTAACTTATGGTTATGGAAATCAGAATATTGTGTGGTTCTGGTTGGAGAAGGGATTGATTGACTGGCAAGGAGTACTAGGGAACTTTCCAGGGGGGTGGGGTGGGGTGGGAATGTTCTATATTTTGATGGGGGGGTTGTTACAAGGTTATATACACTGGTTAATCAGCCAATTGTGTACTTAGTATCTGTGCATTTCAGTATAAATATTTTAAAAAGCTCTCTCTTGATCTTCTTCCTGCATATATGGACACACACAAGTACATATACAAATATGCATACACACATATGCATATACAGAGACAGACATATATACACATATATTTACACACATACAGGGTGTTCAATTATTTATATCCAGCAAGAGCCATGTACAAAATATAAAACAGTGGACAATGACAAGAACACATTTCATTCTGAAATTCATTTTGGTATACAATTATTTTTATTTTCTTAGTTACACTTATCTTAAGATAATAGTATTATTTTGGTTCTACTTATCCCAGATCAACTGAGTGTGTTAAATTAACATAATATGTTAAAAAATGGAAAAACTGATGTAGAATTAAAATTGTTCTATTCACAAAGATAAAGAGGTAATTAAAACAAATAACCAGGGGTAGGCACTGGCACAGTGCTTCAGTCACTGTCTGGGACACAAACATTCCATATTAGTACCTGATTTGAATCCCAGCTACTCTGCTTCCAATTCAGCTTCCTGTTAATTCATATCCCAGGAGACAGCAAATGATGGCTCAAGTACTTGGGTCCCTGTCACCCACATGGAAGACCCAAATGAAATTGTGGGCTCCTGGATTCAGCTTTGCTTAGCCCCAGCTGTTGCAGGTGGTTGGGACTTGAATCAGCAAGTGGAAGATGTCTGTTTTGTCTCTCTGCCTTTCAAAGGGTATTTGCTTTTTAAAACAAACAAACAAACACAGAAGTAATTTTTGAATACTTTGGTCATAGACACTCAGATTTGCCCTATAACTGAAACATCTTATTAAATCCCTGGTCATTTATCAAGTAAGGTTTTCATATACTGTGAGATCCACCTACAATGTCATTATAGAGTCAGAGTTGGAAGGTCGACTTCTAGTATGAATTAATGGGGGTTATTTGTTTCAAGTAACCCAGCTGACTCAAGTAAAGGCCATTAATTGGATTTATTATTGAGATTTACTGGAAGGATACTGTAGCCTTCAGAATTCATAAACAATCAAGAATTAGACTTGCAAATAGGCAGAAGCAGCAAGCTGAAGGAACTGAGAAAATTTCTGGTAAATCTGGTAAGCATGCTCCTGCCACACTCACCAACACCTAGCCATTACTTCTGTCCAGAATTTTAAATTTTTATTTATTTGGAGGTGAGGGGCCAGGGGAGAGAATAGCCCATTTGCTAGTTCACTCCCTTAATGTTCACAATGGAGAGTGTGGAACTCAATCCAGGTTTCCTGCTGGGTGGTGGGAACCCAATTATTTGAGCCATTGCTTCTCCCTCCAAGGGTCTGCATTAGCAGGAGGATGGAATCATAGTGGAGCTGGGTTTCAAACCCAGGTACTCTGATATGGGGCACAGAAATCTTTGTGTGTGTGTTTTAAAGATTTATTTATTCATTTGAAAGGCAGAGTTATAGAGAAGCAGAGGCAGAGAGAGAGGTCTTCTATTTGCTGGTTCACTTCCCAGATGGCCAGAGGCTGGAGTGGTGCCAATCCTAAGCTGAGAGCCAGGAACTTCTTCCTGATCTCCCACATGAGTGCAGGGGTCCAAGGACTTGGGCCAATTTCTACTGCTTTCCCAGGCCATAGCAGAGAGCTGGATCAGAAGAGGAGCAGCCAGGATTTGAACCGGTACCCATATGGGATGCTGGCACCGCAGACGGTGGCTGTACCCTCTATGCCACAACACCTGCCCCAGGAAACAGCCATCTTAACCAGCATCTTACAAACACCAGCCCACACTCCAGAATTTAAAAATGAATCATATAGCATTCAGCTAGTGGAGTTTAGGTCACTGTCTGTCCTACGGTTATCTCTGGACAGGAAGAACAGTCTTGTCCCTTCGGTTCTGAGGTGGGTAGTAATTATCTTCATAAGAACAATATATTCAGGGTCCATGTTGTAGACAGTGGGTTAAGTTGCCACCTGCGAGGCTGGTGCTGTGGTGCAGTGGGTTAATGTCCTGGCCTGGGGTGCTGGCATCTCATATGGGTGCCGGTTCAGGCCCTGGTGCTCCACTTCTGATCCAGCTCTCTGCTATGGCCTGGGAAAGCAGTAGAAGATGGCCCAAGTCCTTGGGCTCCTGCACCCACATCAGAGACCTGGGGGAAGCTTCTGGCTCCTGGCTCCTGGCTTTGGATAGGCACAGCTCTGGCTGTTGTGGCCAGTTGGGGAATGGAAGATTTCTCTTTCTCTCTGCCTCCTCTCTCTCTCTCTGTAACTCTTACTTGCAAATAAATAAATACATAAATCTAAAATAAAAAAAAAAGTTGCTGCCAGCAATGCCAGCATCCCATGTGAGTGCTGTTTTTTTTTTTTAAGATTTATTTCATTTACTTGAAAGAATTACATATAGAGGTAGAGACAGAGAGAAAGAGAGAGAGAGAGAGGGAGAGAGGTCTTTCTTCCGCTAGTTCACTCCCCAAATGGTTGCAACATCCGGAGCTGGGCTGATCTGAAGCCAAGAGCCAGGAGCTTCTTCTGTGTCTCCCACATGGGTACAGGGGCCCAAGGACTCAAGCCATCTTTTACTGCTTTCCCAGGCCATAGCAGAGAGCTGGATTGGAAGTGGAGTGGCCAGGACTTGAACTGGCACCTGTACTGGACCATACTGGATGCTGGCACTGCAGGTGGCAGCTTTATCCACTATGCCACAGTGCCAGCTCCAATGCTTTTTTTTTTTTTTTTTAGAATAATATAGGGGCTGGTGTTGTGATGCAGAGGGTTAAGCCATTGCCTGAGATGCCAGCATATGGGCGCCAGTTTTTGTCTAGCTGTTCCACTTCCGACCCAGCTCCATTAATGTGCCTTGGAAAGCAACAGAAGATGGCCCAAGTGCTTGGGTTCCTGCCACCCATGTGGGAGACCTGGATAGAGTTCCTGGCTCTTGGCTTTGGCCTGGTCCAGCCCAGGTCATTGCAGCCATTTAAGGATGAACCAGTGTTGCCGTTGATTTCTCAACAATGTCGCAGTGGATTCGTTTCTGAGATGAGCAGTGTGGTGGGGGCAAGAGGCGCAGAGTCACCACACAAACCCCAGGAATCAGGTGAAAGCAGGCTTGAAGCGAGCAGCCCGCAGACTCGTTTATTACAGTTGGAACAACATCTTATATAGCCAAGACCAGCCAATCTGGTCAAGGGCGGTCTATGCCCCAACCAATCACAGCCTGTTGCCAGGCAGGCTCCGTTGCCAGGTGGGTTTCAAAGCCATTCCTGAGTAACTGACACTCGCTTGCCAGTGGCCACCTTGGCATGACCTTCTCATTCCACCACATTTCCCCCTTTTTGTTTATTTTTGAGCAACGGGAGGCATGATTCTTGACCATACCATTGTTGACACCGTTTCCATGTGGTCTCCATATGCAGCTGTGCCTGTCTTAGGTTGTCCCCCAGGGGATCTTACCCATCATTGACTAACCAGCGCTCAAAACGAGAGACCACAGGATTGCTTGCTCAGATGGGGGTAGGAATGAGGAATAATGGTTATCAGGAATGGCATGACCGCACACAGGCTGTGGGCCATTTGAGTGGCTGACCAGAGCTAGTGGGGTACAAAACAGTAACAGGCATGGCTACGGGCAGTTTCTCAGGGTAGGATGATAGGGCAGGTGCCTAACAAGGCAGAGTCTCGGTCTTGTTCAGCTGGTTCTGGTTGGCTGTCCGTTGCAGGCTTGATGTTTCTGGCTGGGACCCAAATGGGCTGTTCCACATTCTCTGGAAAGACACAAGCATATCATCGGCCTTGGTTAGCAGAGGGTGTGGTCCCTTCCATTCTCCTGTCAGGGGGTCTTTCCACCTAACCATAGGGGCTGGGGTCTGGGATGGAAAGGATCCCCAGTGTTTATAAGCTGGGCTTATCCCTTGGGAATCAAAAGTAAGAAAATTGATAGTGAAAAGGACCTCAGTCAAAGCAAGCTGTGGGTCTGAGGGTGTATGATTGTTTCTTTGTCTTTGTAAGAGATCTTTAATCATCCTATGAGTTCTTCCAATGGTTGCCTGTCCCTGTGGGTTGTATGGGATACCTGTGGCAGACTGTATGTTCCAAGATTTCAGGAAGGAATTAAATTCCTGTGATGTATATGCTGGCCCATTATCAGTCTTTATGGTCCAGGGGACACCAAGGACCAGCATGGCTGATTTAACCACCTTTATCACATTACTAGCTTTTTCTCTGGATTGGGCTGTTGCAAATACATCCTTTGAATAAGTATCTACCACCACATGGACAAACTTAAGTTTACCAAAGGAGTTAATGTGGGTGACGTCCACTTGCCATAGCTTATTAGGAGCAAGGCCTCGCGGGTTCACTCCTGCTTGTTGCAGTGGGCCTAACAGGGCAAGGGGTGCACAATTCTTGCAAGAGTGCACTAGGTGTTTGCACTGGCTCATTGTTAGCTCTGGGAAAAGCAATTTTATGCTGCTTGCTGACATAAGAAATTTTTGGTGTAAAATACGGGCTTGTTCTAAGCGTCCAATGGAAGCTGTGTAGCAGGAGATAAGACGATCAACTTTTCGGTTGCCTCGGAAAATAAAGCCAGGTAACCCAGTATGTGATCTTACATGTGATATATATCATGGGTATTTTCTGTTTTCAGTTAGCTCTTTAAGTGTTGTGAACATCTGGTCAATTGGCTTATTGGTCGGGTTAAAGACTGCAAAAGGGATCGTCTTTGCTACCGGTACTGAGTATTTGCTGTCCGAAAATATATTTACCAGTCCATCTTGGCTAAGGAGTAAAACCTTGACTATTGCTCTTATTTCTCTCAACTGTACTGATCCCCCGTGGGGTTCTACATGGATCTTATCTTTTTCTGTTAAAGATTTGATCACTATTCCAAAGAGTGACTTGTTGGCATCCGTAAACGCACATGGTGCCATGGGTATAGGTTGATTAGCAGGGAAAGCATGTTTTGGATAGTCTATTTCTAAGGTTTGTAGTGTCTGGAGTAGCCTGTTTGCTGGCAGGTGATTGTCAATCTGTCCTGGAAAATTTATCATTAAAGTTTGAAAGAGTTTGTGCTATTCTGCATCAATGTCAATAGTTCTAATTGTGATAGTGGTAGGACCACTATGTCTGGCTCTGTGTTAAATATCTTATTGGTATAATATCTTAATTTAAGCCCCATCATAAGGATGGCATCTACTTTGTTTACTATTTTACGACAATCACTCCAGGCTATGTGCACCCAAAAAAGTGGTCCGTGTTGTTGCCAAATAACTCCTAAGGGGGCCTTGAGAGTAGATATGGTTATGGCAAATAGAGGCACCTGAGGGTCATATCTAAAGGTTTTTAAATTTGATAACTGGGTGTTAATCTTTTCTATAGTGGATTTGGCTGCAGGTGTCAATGTGATTTTTGAAGAAGGGCTGTTTCCCTTAGTAAATCGTATAGCGGTCTAAGTTCTGCAGGTGTTAGGGGAAGGAAGGGTTGCAGCCAATTGATTTGGCCACATAGTTGCTGAAGTTCATTAAGTGAGTATGTATGCTTGACTTTTAGGTTTGGGCCCATTGGAGATATATGGGTGGAGATTTGATAACCCAAGAATTGAAAGGGAGGAAAATGTTGTACCTTTTCTGTGGCAATAGATAAACCCAGGAACTGTAAATTTCTTACTGTCTCACTTAGACAGGCATTCAGAATTGCTGCATTCTTGTGAGCAAGTAAGATATCATCCACATAACGTATGACCAAGCACTGATCTTTAAGTGTGCTGGTCACATGAGAAACATATCTTTGGCAAATGGCAGGGCTATTTTTCCTGCGTTGTGGGAGTACTGTCCACTGGAATCTTTTTGCAGGGAGCTGGAAATTGGGCTCCCATACTGTAAAGGCAAAGTAAGCCTTATCCTGCTCCACAATGGGAATGGAAAAGAAGCAATCTTTGATATCAATGGTAACTACTGGGCGGTGTTTGCCTAACCTGGGGTCACTTAGACCGAGGACAAGGACAAGGAAAGGGGTGTAGGAGGGGGTTCTGTGCTCACCACCCTCACAGAACTGAACAGCACACAAAACACCGAGGGGCCTTCTTGCCGAAATCCAGGGGGAACCTCGCTGAGTCTGACACTCTTTCTCTCAGTCTTGTTGGCACGCCAGATGTTGCCGTTGATTTCTCAACAATGTCGCAGTGGATTCGTTTCTGAGAGGAGCAGCGTGGTGGGGGCAAGAGGTGTGGAGTCACCACACAGACCCCAGGAGTCGGGTGAAAGCAGGCTTGAAGCGAGCAGCCCGCAGACTTGTTTATTTCAGTTGGGACAACATCTTATATAGCCAAGACCAGCCAATCTGGTCAAGGGCGGTCTATGCCCCAACCAATCACAGCCTGTTGCCAGGCAGGCTCCATTGCCAGGTGGGTTTCAAAGCCATTCTTGAGTAACTGACACTCGCTTGCCCGTGGCCACCTTGGCATGGCCTTCTCATTCCACCACAAACCAGTAGATGGAGGATTTTTTTCTCTGTCTCTCCCTCTCTGTAATTCTGCCTTTCAAATAAACAAATAAATCTTTTTTTTTTAAAGAAGAAGAATATATATGTATAGGAGTTAATGCTCTAAAGTAAACAGCGAGGCTATTAGGAAGGATGGATCTGAGTAACCAAAAATAAATAAGTAAATAAAACAAAACCCAACACAGTCCATGTTACAATCCAACCCTTCATGTTGCATTGGAATTCCTTCAACATTCAGTTCAGCTAAAAGAATGATTGGGTTCATGTAACTATTAGGTGTCTTGTTTCTATATAATTCGTTCTTGAGGGCTTCCATATTAAAATGCGTGATTAAATACTTTTAACTAATTTTGTTCCCCCCTGAAGCCCCATTAAACTCATGTGTGTTTGTCCAAAGACTTAAAACCAGATTACAAAAAAAGCAACCAACTTTTGAAAGCTGAAAGAGACAGATGGGCAAATGTCATTGACACAGCTTATTTGAGAAAGCTGAATCCTAAATCAGCAATGGAAAAAGCTGAAAAGCAACCCTTTTCCACATTGTAGAGTCTTTAAAGGCATAGGAAGAGGTAGCATCAGTTACTTGTTAGGACTATTATGAGGATTAAATACATTCTATTTGTAAAGTACCTCCTGGCCTGTAAATATCAGCTGTCACTCCCACCACCTTCGTCACCATGCCTCTTGCTAAGATTTGACATGAATGCTCAACTAGATGTAGTAAAAGGTGCAGCTTCTCAAGCACCTCAGTAGCAGCCTTCACAATCTACCCACCCTGCTCTGTTTCTTAGCTTTCTGGTCTTGCACCAGCACCACCATGCTTCTTGTCCTTTCTTGCACAGACCACATGGCTTTTCCTTTGGCCTCTAACTCCCACCAGGCATCCATTCTTTGTGGAAGTTTCCTTCAGGAATCAAAAAATGAGAAAGATCAGGTTATCTGAAGGGCAAAGTATGCATAAAGATCCTGAGACTGCCCTGAGCTTGAAATGCTCATGAAACTGAACAGTGGGACTGGCAAGGCAGTGAGGGGGTGGGGGAACCAAGTGAACCTGGAGATGCGCAAGCAGTTTACACAGGGCTTTGAAAGCCATGGTATGGCATTCAGAGTTTATTCTAAAGAGTACAGAAAAAGGGGCCAGTGCTGTGGTGTACCAGGTAAAGCCTCCACCTGCAGTGGCTGGCAACCCATATGGGTGCTGGTTTGAGCCCTGGCTGCTCCACTTCCAATCCAGCTCTCTGCTATGGCCCGGGAAAGCAACGGAAGATGGCCCAAGTCATTGGGTCCCTGCACCCATGTGGGCAATCCGGAAGAAGTTCCTGGCTCCTGGCTTTGGATCAACACAGCTCTGGCCATTGCAGCCACCTGGTGAGTGAACCAGCAGATGGAAGACCTCTCTCTCTCCCTCCCTCCCTCTCTCTCTCTCTCTCTCTGCTTCTGCCTCTCTATAACTCTGCCTTCCAAATAAATACATAAATCTTTTTAAAGAAAAGGAGCAGAGAAGAGCCTTTTGGTGTGATATAATCAGGTTTACAATTTTAAAAGATCCCTGTGGCTACTATGTCAAAAATGAATACAGCAAGGGCTAAAGAGAGAAAAGTAATCTCAGAGGTGCTACTTGGATAGCTGGGAGTGAGAAACACCAGAGGTAGCAGCCATAGATACAAAAAGATAGGACAACTGTATATATGTTTCCCTAGTGGGATTGGAACTAAACTTGCCAATGGATTGGATATGGAGGGGAGGAGGGAAAGCTTAAAGCTGAAACCAAGGTCTCTGGCTTATGACGGTCTTGAGACAGGAAATTTTGGGGCAGAAACCAGCTTGGGGTTTCAGTTTGGAGAAGTTAACTTTGAAATGTCAAACAGTGTCCAAGAATAGATGTCAACTTGCAACAGGCCTAAATTACAGACAAAAACTAGGAGTAAGCAGCCTTTACACGAAATTTGTCACAACGGGAATAAACATGAGTTACCCAGAAGGACAATGTCAAAGTGAGACAGCAGGGACACAGCTCCAAGACTCAAGAAAAAAAAAAATTTTTTTTTTTTTGGTAAGGATTTATTTATTTACTTGAAAGCTGGAGTAACAGTGGAACAGAGAAAATAGACAATAGAGAGATACATCTTCCACCCACTGGTCCAGTACCAAAATGGCTGCAACAGCCAGATCTAGGACAGGTTGAAATCAGGAACCAGGAATTCATTCTGGACCTCCAACATGGGTGCAGGGGCCCAAGCACTTGGGCCATCTTTCACTGCCTTCCCAGGCACATTAGCAGGAAGCTAGTTCAGAAGTGGAGCAGCCAGGACTCAAACCAGCACTGTGATACCGGGTGTAGGCAGCAGCAGCAGCAACTGCACTCACTGAATGCTGGCCCCAAGAGCAAATCTATTCTTTAGAGGACATGGAGAGGAAGGAAAATCAGCAAAACTATCTGTGGAGAAGTCAGTAGGGTAATTTTTCAAGGAGGAAGAAGTGGCCAACAGAGTCCAGTGCTTCTGTGAGATCAAAATAGACAAGAACAGGAAGTGTCTTTTTGTTTTGGCAACCTGGAAACAACCAATGCCTTGATAAGAGCAGTTTTTGGGCTTGACTGCAAGAGTCAGATTCTATGAAAACAGAATGGGAGAAGAGGATGAGACGACAGTGTTCACCATACAAGCATTAGGTTAAATTCTGACACTGCTGAAATCTGGTAGCTTCTGATGCACAAAATCAGTAATTTCATGAATTTTTTTTAAAGTTTAACAGAGAAAAAGAAAAGGAAACATGGGGACAGTAGTTGGGAAGGAATGAGGTTAAGGAGGGCCAGAAATTGGGTTCGTGTCACCTACTTGGAAGACTGGGATTGACTTGGTACCTGGCTTTGGCCTGGCCCAGCCCTGGTCATTGCAGGCATTTGGGGAACTCAGTCTGTACCTCTGCCTTTGAAATAAGGGAAAGAAAACAAGTGGTTATCACCTGAAAGAAAGGTGAGGATCAAGGATAGGAGATTTGATAATCAAAGGAATTAATGTGAAAGTCTGTTTTTAAATTTTGTTTCACTTTTATAAAGATTTATTTATTTGAGAGGCAGAGTTACAGAGAGGCAGAGGCAGAGAGAGGTCTTCCATCCACTGGTTTGAGCTGGGCTGATCCGAAGCCAGGAGCCAGGAGCTTCTTCTGAGTCTCCCATGTAGGGGCAGGGGTCCAAGCACTTGGGCCATCTTCTACTGCTTTCCCAGGCCATAGCAGAAAGCTGATTTGGAAGTGGAACAGCCGGGACTCAAACCAGTGCCCATATGGGATGCCAGCACTGCAGGCGGAGGCTTTACCTGCTATACCACAGCACCAGCCCCAAGATTTATTTATTATTTGAAAGGCAAAGTGACAGAGAGGTAGGAATAGATAGATAGAGAGATATTCCATCCTCTGGTTCACTCTCCAAATAGCCACAATAGCCAGGGCTGGGCCAGGTCAAAGCTGGAAGCCTGGAACTCCATCCTGGTCTCCCACATGGGTACAGGGGCTCAAGCACTTGGGGGCTATCTTCCACTACTTTCCCAGGCATGTAAGTAGGGAGCTGGATTGGAAGTGGAGCAGTCAGGACTCGAACCAGAGCGCACAAGGGATGCTGGCACTGTAGGCAGCAGCTTAACTCACTGTACCACAATGCCAGCGCCTATGTGAGTCTTTAGAGAAGAGTGGGTGAATAGATTACCTGTGGAACTGCAGTGGGAATGTCAAACACTAACTAGTACTTTCGTGACAATAGTCAATCATAAACTTATGGCAGGGGCTAAAATTTCACATGCATATTACAGGGGCCAGGCAGATGAAGAACTGATGCAGACCGTGTGCCCAAGGAACTAAGAATACGTGTTCCATTTAAAAGGGGGAAGCCACTGGATTGCTGCCACCAATACTGGCAGCTTTATCTTGCTAGACCTGAATTTTCAAGAGAAGCCAGCAGGGCCGATGCTGTGGCTTAGTAGGTTAAGCTGCTGCCTGTGGCGTCCAGCATCCCATACAGGCACCGGCTGCTCCACTTCTGATCCAGCTCCCTGCTAATAGGGAAAGCAGTGGACGATGATCAGGTGCTTGAGCCCCTGCATACATATGGGAAACCCTGGAGAGGCTCCTGACTCCTGCCTCTGGATCAGCCTGGCTCCCGTCGGCATGGCTAAATTGGGGAGTGAACCAGTGGAGGGAAAATCTGTCTCTGTCTCTCTCTCTCCCTCTGTAACTCTTTCAAATAAATAAATCTTAAAAAAAAATCTAGAACTAATACAATTTTTAGAAATTATAAGTTTCCCAGGCATCCCATGAGTCAAGTAAGTGTAAATTTTCAAAACCCATGGTATAACATAATTTATATTATTTATTTTCAATCAGAATAGTTTTTGCTACTACTTTCTTAAAAAATGCATCCTAGGAGGCCGGCGCCATGGCTCACTAGGCTAATCCTCCCCCTGTGGCGCCGGCACCCCGGGTTCTAGTCCCGGTCGGGGCGCCGGATTCTGTCTCGGTTGCCCCTCTTCCAGGCCAGCTCTCTGCTATGGCCCGGGAGTGCAGTGGAGGATGGCCCAAGTCCTTGGGCCCTGCACCCCATGGGAGACCAGGATAAGCACCTGGCTCCTGCCATCAGATCAGCGCAGTGCGCCGGCCACAGCGCGCCGGCAGCAGCGGCCATTGGGGGGTGAACCAATGGCAAAGGAAGACCTTTCTCTCTCTGTTTCTCTCTCACACTGTCCACTCTGCCTGTCAAAAAAAAAAAAAATGCATCCTAGGGGCTGGCATTGTAGCACAGTGGGTTAAGCCACTGCCTGCAACACCAGCATCCCATATCGGCACCAGCTGGAGTCCTAGCTGCTCCACTTCTGATCCAGCTCCCTGCTGACAGCCTGGGAAACCAGCAAAAGATGGCGCAAGTGCTTGGGCTCCTGCATCCATGTGGGAGACCTTGAAGAAGTCCTAGGTCCTGGATTCAACCTGGCCCAGCACCTGTGGGCCTTTGGGGAGTGAAGTAGCAGATGAAAGAGATCTCTCTTTGTCTCTCCTCTCTTTGTAACTCCACCTCTCAAATAAACAAAAAAACTTTTTTTAAAAGATTTATTTTATTTGAAAGTCAGAGTTACACAGAGAGAGGAGAGGCAGAGAGAGAGAAGTCTTCCATCCGATGGTTCACTCCCCAATTGGCAGCAATGGCCAGAGCTGCGCCTATCCAAAGCCAGGAGCCAGGAGCTTCTTCCAGGTCTCCCAAGTGGGTGCAGGGGCCCAAGGACTTGGGCCATCTTCTACTGCTTTCCCAGGCCATAGCAGAGAGCGGGATTGAAAGTGGAGCAGCCGGGTCTTGAACCGGTGCCCATATAGGATGCCAGTGCTTCAGGCCACAGCGTTAACCCGCTACGCCACAGCGCTGGCCTAGAAACTTTTAAAAAAATGCATCCTAGGGGTCAGTGCTGTGGCATAGTTGGTAAAGCTGCCACCTGCAGTGCCAGCATCCCATATGGATGTCGGTTCAAGCCCCAGCTGCTCCACTTCTGATCCAGCTCTCTGCTGTGGCCTGGGAAAGCAGAAGATAGCCCAAGTCTTTGGGCCCCTCCCTGCACCCATGTGGGAGACCTGGAAGAAGCTCCTGGCTTCGGATTGATGCAGCTCTTGTTGTTGTGGCCATTTGTGGAGTGAACCAGCGGATGGAAGATCACTCTCTCATTCACTCTGCTTCTGCCTGTGACTCTTACCTTTCAAATAAAATTAATAAGTCTTTTTAAAAATGCACCCTAAAATGATACAATCATGAGTAAAACAGATGAATTCTAATAGTAAAGGAGCCTACAAAATATTTCAAAGCAGTACTCCTCAAAACCATCAAAAATAAGGAAAGTCTGAGAAAACTCCACAGCCAAAGGCACATAAAGAGATGCTGATAACTAAATACTGCTATGTGGTATCCTGAATGACATAAGAACTAAAGAGACATGAACAAAGGATGGACTTCAGCTAATAATAACGTACAATATTGGTTTCTTAATTGCAACAAATGTATCAGAGTAATGGTAAATATTAACAGGAGAAATTGGATGCTGGGTTTTTGGGAATTCTTGGGACTGCTCAATTTTTTAAGATACATGTAAAACAACTTCTAAAAATACTCATAAACTATACGAAGAAAACACCAGTTTTTAACAGGGCAATGAATAAAGCAATGGCCACTCACATACTGAATGCCCAGCTCGTGAATGGGCAATACAGTTACAGCGTCCCCTCATGGTCCCCTCCCTGTTCTTGTGAGATATAAACCACTTTCCTAAACTGCATTTCTTGTGTTTCTTGATTACTTTCACTGGATTATACACACCTAAACAATCTGTAGTATTGTCTCACACGTCTTAAAACACTGTGTGTATGAACTGTCTTGCTATTTTTTTCCCCTTCATGGCTCTTTTTGCCTCATCAGCGTTGTCTCGTTTCACAGGCTCGTAATATTCCATCCCGCTAACACACTGCAATACACCTGCCACTACTCTCATCGGGGCGTCTGGCTTCCGCCCCCAGCGCTGTTATGTCTTTGCCCATATATCAAAGTTTTTACAGGGCACACACTGCGGAGCAGAATGCTGGGTTTTCTTGAAAACCTTCGGAGTTACTAGAATTTGCAAATTTACTTTTCCAAAGGGTGTTAACATCTGTGTACGTACAAGCAGCCGCATTCCGGGGGTTAAAAACTCTTGTAAGACGTACAACTACGTAACATTTCACTTCCTTCTAGTTTGTCTTCTGTGCCCACGTAATCATTTCCGCAAACCAACCACCAGGCGCACCTAAGAACGCTTTCACGGGCGAATCCGCCGCAGGACACACAAACGCCCAGCACCCACAACCGCCCAGCACCGGGCGACGCCGACGCAAGCCCGTTTCCGGCGTCAGCGTCGGCGACACGCAGCGGTGACGTCAGCGCGCTCAGGGCGTCGGCGTCCTGTTTGTAATCCTTGAAGGACCCTTTCCGGGCTGACTGAAGATACACGTGCAGCTGGCATTTGCCGATTACCTTTTTTTCGAAAAGCAAAGCTATTCTCATAGACTCCCATTGTTCTCAGCGTCAAGCCCCTTCTCTCGGGAAAAGACTTGGAGGGAGTTTCTTTCAGGCAGCGCCGCGGGCAGCCCGCAGGCCCTTGTAAGGCGCGCGCCGCGGCCCCGCCCCCTTCCTTTCGGCCGGAGCCGCCATCTTCCAGGTATGAAGTTCGCGTGGCTCCCGGCCCTCGAGAGTTCTGTAAGCGGGAATGGAAGCCCCGTGGCCGGCTAGGCCGTGCTTCGGGGCTCTAGAGAATCCATCTATACTGTTGGGGGCCTACTGACGAGCGTGGGTCTAGCCGTGGCCTGCCCTACGTGGTGCGGCGTGCGCCGGGCCGGCAACGGGCCGGGGACTGAGGACCGAATGGCCGTGCATTGGCCCTGTACTGGGGAAGCGTCTCGGGAAAGACGGGCCCGAGACGTTGTGGGTGAGGCGATTCGGGCTCATCTGACAAGGACTTAATTCTCCTGATGGCGTTTCGGCTTGGATATCCTGACCCCTCTCGGATAGGTTGTCAGTCGGGTGTGGCCTGAACTATAGCCAGAGCGGAGTTAAAGCATTGCTTTGCACGTCCGTTGAGGCCTAGGTGTGTGTCTAGGCCTCAGTCGTGGTGGGAGCCCGGTGAGTCGACCTGGGTAGGGAATTCCAAGCGAGATTGAGTGCACGAGGTGATGATGCCTTGTTTCGGGATTTGGGTCCCGCATGGCGGTGGGACGAGGGGAAAGTACTTGTACCGGGAGGCGGTGTCAGGACAGCATGTGTTGAGCGAACGGATTCCGGAACAGCGTGCGATTTAGAAGCTGAAGGGAACGTTCTGTAATAGCCACTTAGTCGTAGTTCTTGGTGGTTTTTGTCTAATTACTTGATACTAATGACATTTCAGTCAGCAGACTACCCCACAGTGGATTCTGGTTAACGCGGTTTTTGGTTGCTGTTCAGACTCCATCATCGGTTTCTACGTGGGGTGTCGTTTTGAAAAACCCACTAAGTTGTAGGTTTGTTGAGTGTAGATAATAAAATGGATTTCCAACTCTGGAAAGTGGGTCCGGTGGAGGAGCTCTGGAGTCAGATGCTGTTTCTGCTGTTTTGTGACCCCACCGAGTGGCTTCAGTCTGCAGAGCAACACTGCTTATGGACTGAAACACGGAGGTGAAGATTTTGAGGATTAGCACAGGGCATCTGCACCTGGTTGCCTCTTTCCGATTAAAATATGAACACATCCATTGTAAACAGGCTTCAGTTTTCCTGGATTTGGTGGGACAGTCTTTGTGTCAGTTTGCCACACCATTGTTATGAAAAGGATATTTCAGTAGAATCATTTCTTCAAGATTAAAGAGTGTTAATAAATTAATGATTTATTTTAGTCCGCTGTCCAGAAGTTAAGCCTGATTGGGCTGCTTTTGTTTATGGTAGGAGTAATTGCTGAGAATGGCAGTTCTTTGAGTTGTCAGGACCATATTACAGAGGATGAGAGCTTAATGTAGGTCATCTTCTTGAAAGTGTAGTGGCTTTGCATTAAATACTAGAAGCTGTCACAGGAAATTAGGTTGAGATTTAGTATTCCCCACCCCTCCCCATGGCAAGGCTGTTTTGTCAGTTTCTCCAACAATAAATGATCTCTAGTGAGTGAAAGATTTGATGCTGCAGTTCTTTCTGACATTTCTTTTGTGATATAAAAACATTTGAAATCAGAAGGGTTTTGATTACAAGAGACATGCCAATATTTGTATATGACTTTTTATGCTTTTCTGAATTCAGTAATTCGCCAAGATGACGAACACAAAGGGAAAGAGGCGAGGTACCCGGTACATGTTCTCCAGGCCTTTCAGAAAACATGGTAAGTAGATGTACCCTCCTTGAGAGCAATCATGGCACACGGTAGTGTTTTAGTAATATGTGTATGTTTTACTTCCTGTAATGTTCAAAATGGCCTTAAGCTTATTTTATAATAAATAACAATTTGTGTAGCAGTGTTTTAACTACACTTTAGTGCACTGATTTTGTTTTCAAGGGTAATTGTCCATTGGCAAGATTTAAAACTTTGTAACTGTCAAAGGTGGTGTGTGTATATATAGTAACCTTGATACTGAACCAAAATATTTTTCTGCAGGAGTTGTTCCTTTGGCCACATACATGCGCATTTACAAGAAAGGTGACATTGTGGACATCAAGGTAATTTATGAAAATATAGAGTGAATGTTTTATAAGTTCTCTTCTTGGGTCTAGATTTTTCTCAATACCTGCTTGAAGGTAACATTTAGTGGAAAATTAAGAAAAAATCCTAAGTTTGTCAAAAGTGAAAGAAAACTCTAATGAAAGCTATTTTGTGTCTTATGTGTCCTGGTACTCCAGAGCTTAATGATGATTGTCTTTTTGATTGCTTGAAGCAATATGAAAAACACATTTCACCGGCTCTGAAAGCTCTTGAGTCACCACTTAAAATCTTAAGCAGGCCTGATATGGTGCAGTGGGCTAAATCTTCAATATTTTTTAGAATATTTAATAAGAGTCAAAGTTTAAAAGGAAGGGGAAGTTGTAGTGTAACATTTGTCTCCTTTTTTAACAGGGAATGGGTACTGTTCAAAAAGGAATGCCCCATAAATGTTACCATGGAAAAACTGGAAGAGTCTACAATGTTACCCAGCATGCTGTTGGCATTGTTGTAAACAAACAAGTGAAGTAAGTCATAGTTCTTTGTACTAATTGATATTCTCTCGCCCCCTTTTCACTTTGCCAATTTGACTTTTTTGTCTTTATTGGTCATTCAAGTGGGGCAAAGGAACTATCCTTTTAAAACTCAAGCAAGCTGAGTGTTTGTCTTGTAACCTGTCAGAGGAAACAAACTGAAATTCACTTAATAGAAAAGCTTACTTGATTAAGTTCTTAACAGTTCCAGTTTTCATGAATTTGAGAAATTAATCTTAGTTAAATTAATGTTCCAGGAGCTGTCATCTCATTAAAAGAGACCTTAAAACTAGGGCTGTTGGCCAAAAGAAGACTTAAAATTGGTGGTAAATTAAGTAATCAAGCCATCACCCTGTTGATTTATACTGTCAGAGTAAAAAGAAGGCTCATGATTTAACAAATGGAACTTCCAAAGCAGTTTTCTGTGTCTCTGTTAATACTCCTGACAAAACACTTACCAGATCTTCTGCTCTCTTCAGAGGCAAGATTCTTGCCAAGAGAATAAATGTGCGTATTGAACACATTAAGCACTCTAAGAGCAGAGATAGCTTCTTGAAACGTGTGAAGGAAAATGATCAGAAGAAGAAGGAAGCCAAAGAGAAGGGTACCTGGGTTCAACTAAAGCGTCAGGTAAGCATTTAACTTGACAGGCTATCTTGGTATTGATCTTCGGGAACTTTTAAAAATTGTTGCTCACTGGTAAACTTATTTTTCAGAATTAAATATTTTTTTCTGAGTATTAATAATTAATATAATTATTTTCCCAATAGCCTGCTCCACCCAGAGAAGCCCACTTTGTCAGAACCAATGGAAAGGAGCCTGAGTTGCTGGAACCCATTCCTTATGAATTCATGGCATGATAAATGTAAGATAAATAAATAAGACCTAATTGATTAAGGTGTGGTGTCTTGTTTCCAAAGAGTTATTTTATTCAAGTTTTAACTATGTCCTAAAATAAGTGGAAGATTATGTTGCATTATAATTAAGCTCAGAAAGTTGATTACTCATGACTCAAATAGCTGGATTTTAAGGATCAAGAATTTGCCTTTGAAGCTGACCGTTTAAAAAAATGAGTTGGTTAAAAAAGTACGATTTGTAACAGCACTTTCACCATTCACAGAACAGGATGCCTTAGACAACAGCATAATAGTGTTTATTTTAGTCCATTTCTCTTGCTGTAACAAATTAGCACAAACTTGGGTAATTTGTACAATTTAAGTCCATTTTTCACAGTTCCAGAGGGTGGGAAGTTTGAAGATCAGGGCATGGACCAGGTTGATGTCAGACTGTCCTGTGGCAAAATAGACTGAAGGGGAGTAAACTGTTCACTTCATGCTAGGAGAGGAGTGGGGCTTCACAGGTTCCCTCCAGCCCTTAGTGCTGATGCATTCATGAAGGCGCAGTCCTCAGGAGAAACCATAGTTTATGTTTGCATTTGAAATGGAAACTAAAGACTCATGTAATGAAGTTGTCTATTTTACTCCATTTTAATTTTTTAGGATTTTTATTTGAGGGGTAGAGTTGAGGGTCTTATTTGCTGGTTCATTCCTTATCAGGTATTTTAATACAATTTATAATTGCAGTTATAACAAGGCATGTAGCTGCTGTGATTTCCTGTTTAAATGGTATTTTCACCCCACCACTTGTGTTCAACTTGAGGACAAGAATCTACTTGTTCTCCAGTTTAGTAGATGCTGTGGGTGGGGGGGGGGGAGCTTAATTGGTGGCTTGAGCTTTCTCTACTGAAGTAGGTGGGGTAGTAAGTACTGCTTTGGCAACCAGAAAACTTGATTTGAATATCAATGAGTGCCTAACAAGGTGAAGTTTTTAACTTTAAGGGGAGTTTAAATGGATGATGGTCTTAATCTTGGTTACAACTGTGAAGTCAAACTCCTTTCTTTATTTCATTTTTTATTTGAGAGGTAGAGTTAAAGAGAGAAAGGTCTTCTTCCATTGGTTCACTTTCCAAATGGCCAAAGCGACAGGAGCTGTGCTGATCCGAAGCCAGGAGTTTCCTCTTGGTCTCCCGTGTGGGGTGTAGGGACCCAAGAAGTTTGGGCTGTCCTCTACTGCTATCCCAGGCCTCAGCAGAGAGCTGGACTGGAAGAGGAACAAGACTAGAACCAGCCAGCACCCATATGGGATGCCAGAGACGGTGATGGAGGATTAACCTTGTGCGCCATGGTGCCAGCCCCTCCTTTATTAATGTCAATTGATATGGTGGCCCGGCACTGGTTCGAGTCCAGGCAGCTTCACTTCAAATCCAGCTCTCTGCTATGGCCTGGGAAGGCAGTGGAATATGGCGCAAGTGCTTGGGCCCTGCACTTGAATGGGAGAACTGGGAGAAGCTCCTGGCTCCCGGTTTTGGATTGGCCCAGCTGCAGCCACTGCAGCTATCTGGGGAGTGAACCAGTGAATGGAAGACTTTCTCTCTCTGCCTTTGCCTCTCTTCAAATAAGTAAATCTTTCAAAAATAGATCAATTCTTTTATACCTTTTTTTTTTTTTTAAGTTATTTGAGAGGCAGGGCATCAAGGGGAGGGAGATAAACAGGTCTTCTATCTGCAAGTTTCCCCCTACCCCAAAGGCAACAGCTGAGTCTGGGCTGGGATGAAACTAGGAGCCAGGAACTTCATTGCAGTGTCCCACGGGGTGGTGGGATCCCAAGTGGGTAATCAATGAGCTTCCCAGATACATTAGTAGGAAGTTGGATCAAAAGCAGAGGAGCTGGGAGTTAGAAGAGCACTTGGATGTGGAACAGCTTCAAAAACAGCTTAACCTGGTGTGCCACAACTCTGGCCCTCATGTTCCTTTTTCAGTTCACTGAGCTTCCAGGTTCTACATCACAAATTGCTTAACCTACAGATTGAGGTTTTTTTTTTTTTTTTTTTAAGATTTATTTATTTTATTTGAAAATCAGAGTTACACAGAGAGAGAAGGAGAGGCAGAGAAAGGTCTTCCATCTGTTGGTTCACTCCCCAAATGGCTGCAAGGGTTGGAGCTACACTGATGCAAATCCAGGAGCCTGGAGCTTCTTCCGGGTCTCCCACAGGGATGCAGGGATCCAAGGACTTGGGCCATCTGATGCTTTCCCATGCTATAGCAGAGAGCTGGATTGGAAGTGGAACATCTGGGACTCAAAAGTGGCACCCATATGGATGCCAGCACTGCAGACAGTGACTTTACCTGCTGTGCCATAGCACTGGTCCTGAACTAGGTTTTCTTACCTTCTAAAATGCAGTATCCTCCCCGTGGACCCATCACCACCACTTTAAAAGATGATCCTGATGATTAGGACTACTTGTACAGCACTTCACGTGGTACAAAAAGACTTTTCAGTAACCACCAGCTCCATTTTGTAATCAGCTGAACTACAACTAATAATTGAGGTTGGTTATAAAGGGGCATGTGACTCCCCCCTTTTAGGGGTTATATTCTTAACTATCTGTGAGGTCAGAGACCACATAAAGTTGAAATATTGCCATTGCTGGATTAATAATTATACCACTAACAGTTTATCGATTGCTTGATTTGAGAGTCTACTGTTTTCATCGTTGTGTCTAACTTTGAGATGTGGGACTACCATGTTAGATGTGTAAGAAAATTCAAGAACGGAAAACAATTCACCAGTGCTCACATTACTATAAAATGGCAGACCTGGACTTGAACCTGTGATTCTCACACAAGAGTTCCCTAACCACCATTCTGTTTGACTACTGAGCGTATGTATGGTGGGGTGTGTGTGTGTGTGTGTGTGTGTGTGTGTTTTAAAGATTTTTTCATTTATTTGACAGGTAGTTACAGTCAGACAGAAAGGTTTTCCTTCCGTTGGTTCACTCCACAAATGGCTGCTATGGCCAGCACTGTGTCGATCCCAAGCCAGGAGCCAGGCGCTTCTTCCTGGCCTCCCATGCAGGTGCAGGTGCCCAAGCACTTGGGCCATCCTCCACTGCCCTTCCGGGCCACAGCAGAGAGCTGGACTGGAAGAGGAGCAATCAGGACTAGAACCTGGCACCCATATGGGATGCCAGCACCGCAGGTAGAGGATTAACCAAGTGAGCCACGGCGCTGGCCCCTGGGTAGTTTTTTAAAATACCTTTATTCTGGGGTCAGTGTTGTGCACAATAGGTTAAAGCCCTGGCCTGCAGCCTCTGGCATCCTATATTGGTGCTGGTGCAAGTCCTGGCTGCTCCATTTCCAATCCAGCTCCGTACTAATGCACCTGGGGAAGCAGTGGAGGATGGCACAAGTTCTTGGGTCCCTGCACCCATGTGGAAGGCCCAGAAGAAGCTCCTGGCTCCTGCTGTGGATCAGCTCAGCCCTGGCCGCTGCGGCCATTTGGGGAGTGAACCAGTCTCTCTATCTTTGTCTCTCTTTCTGTAACTCTTGTCTTTCAAATAAAATAAATCTTTAAAAAAAAAAAAAACCTTTGTTCAGATAAAATGGATACATAAATAATTGCACATATTTAATATGTATGATTTGATGAGTTTAGATGTACCCATAATATCACGTGTGCAGCCGTTTGTAGTCTGGCTCCTGCTAAATTTTTTTCTTTCTCATTTCCTGTTACTGTTGTCCTGATTTATGCTGGAGCTATTAGGAAAACTATATATTTTTTCTCACTTTCTTTGCATTGGCATTGCCTGTGCTTGCTCTGTTCAGTTGGTGACTTCCTGCTTGTCCTTCAGTCTGTACCTTAGGTGGTACTTTATAGATGACATCTCCCCTGATGTGAGGAGAGGAATGCAGAAAGCACTTGAACTCAGGAGACACATTGCTTCTGGTTTGGGTTCATGGAATAACATTTTCTGTGACAGATGTTTTTAATTCTGCTACAGTGGCCTCAATTTTTAAAACTTCTTTCTTCCTCACTACACCTGAGGTTAGGGACTGTCTTTAGACTTTGGATGCCTGGCATACTATAGTAAGCATTCAGTAAACGCTGTTTGGATTAATGAGAGGATAATGAAAAAAGCATTACTTTAAAAAACCAAATAGATAACTTCATTCTAGTTTCTGTATGTTCAATATTATTTTTCTATTGACTTTATGAAGCTGCAGTGTTTCTCTGACCTTTGAGAGCCAGTTAACCATTTTGCTCATGAGGAATTGTGATTAAGTTTCCCACGTGATGTATAATATTCTTTAGTTTATTCCCCAGCATGTGGAATTCTTTTGTTGCTTTATCAGTGAAATGACTGCAGGGGATTTGACCAAATGATTCCTAGGGATGCTTTGTGCACTTAGGGTCTATGATTCCATGTAACTGATTTGAAAGGCAGATGGGCAGAGACAAATATGTTTTATCTGCTGGTCCACTCAAAAAACCTGGCAACAGTCAGGGCTGGGTCAGCCTGAAGCCGGAAGCCTAGAATTCAGGATGAGTCTCCCATGGGAGTAGCAGGGATCATGCGCTAAGCCATCATGTGCTGGCTCCTGGGGTATACATTAGTAGGACTTAGAGCCTGGATTCAAAGCCAAGAACTACAATATGGAATGTGGGTGTCTCCAGTGTCATCTTAACTGTTGGACCAAACACCTGACCCTGAGTCCATGTTTTACCATGACCAGGTGAAATGAAGTGTAGTATGACTTATCAAAGAAGAAATGGAAGTATAAAATACCTCTTCAGCAGGGATGGTAAAGCTGGAAATTGAGAAAAGGGAGACAGACTTGGCTGAGGGGAACTGTTATCCTTAGGCAATCGCACAGTAAGAACCCTACATCTGGGGACCGGTGCAGTAGCTCACTTGGTTAATCCTCCGCCTGCAGTGCCAGCATCCCATATGGGCACCGGGTTCTAGTCCCGGCTGCTCCTCTTCCATCCAGCTCTCTGCTGTGGCCCGAGAAGGCAGTGGAGGATGGCTCAAGTGCTTGGGCCCCTGCACCCG